TAATTAATTACGAACATATTTCTTTTCCAAGATCAACGAAGTCTGATAAAAGAGAAAATATTGCCAACGATGAAGAACAGCTTCTTCTCTTAAATAAAATCGATTGAAAATAATATTAAAATATTTATTGAACTTGCTTGATCTAAAGCATCTCAATTAGGTGTCTACTAATTATCATTTCATATAATAGAGAAAACATATTTTATTTTCCTTATCTTGTATGTCTTTCAATAAAATCATAGAAAAAAGTACGGAAGCCTCTTTTAAAACTTAGTTTCTTGTAATAGATAATTTATTATATTCTCTTGTTGATTATTTCTTAATTAAAACATAAAGAATCAAAATCGGTTTTCTATATCATGTGTTCCTATGATTTGTACGAACTGTAATGTAAATATCAAACGTTTAGCTTATCTAAAAACAAATTAATAATTGAAAAATGATTCTTAATGTCTCAACGATTTAGTGTCTCATATCTTTTCCGAACTATGAAATCTAAAAAAACCAACTAATAGGAAAACAGTTCTATGAGGATTCAAGATTACAATGAAGATACCTTGAAATCTGTAAAAATCATATTACTTCATCACTATTTTCTCTTATAAAAATAAAATAGACAAACTCCTAATGAACATTAACAATCTTTTGGGGTTTCACATACACTGAAAATTAAAGAATGGATTGCAAAGGGACTTCTTTTTAGAACTCAAAGTACTATTTTTTTATCCAATAATGCACTTTTAGATGCAACCATACCTTATTTTTCGAATTGTTTTTGATAAATAGTATCATAGACAAAAAAAAATCATCTGTACGCTCTAAAAGCTCAAACATAACGACTGCAATCCAATCTAATTTTTGTTTCTCTTTCGATAGTTAATGATAGTATCTGTAAAAAAAAATCTGAATAAAAGTTTCTTATTCAAAGTATGAATGAAAATTAAAAGAAAAACATAATTATGAGCGATCAAGTGTTTATAGTTGCATGTTTGTGTCACACTTTAATAAAAGAATATTGACTGATGAAACACTTATAAAGTGAGAGTCAATGACAAATTCAACTTTTTGTTTTTATTTCGATGAGATCAAAATCTTGTTCAGTTCATCGTTTTAAATATTGGCTGGTTCTGTATCTCTGTTTTAGAACTATAAAGATTTTTTCATAGAATGCATTGATAAATGTACAATTTACAAATGTTCAAGAATAGGGAAACTAACACCAAAATTCTTTTAAAGCAAGACATTGATGTTAGTTCGAAAAACTAAATTGAAAAAGATTCTAGCTTGAATAAAAATACACTAGCATAAATTGTTTGTTGACGTATCATGTGAGCTTAAATATTTTCACAGCTATATTTATTCAAGACTGTACGACTCAATCAACTTGTCAGATTTTGACTCCTATGCTTTTTCTACTTGGCACTACAGTTTGATATTTTGCGCTATGAACATTTAGTCATTTGCCATCTCGAACACAAACAAACTTGATCAAATATCAACCACTTACATCCTGCTTAATCTCAAGTTACTGGCTTTGCTTTCAAAGCTTTTTCTTCCGTTATCTGAAGACTTTTACACTTTTCTATGATATATTTAACTTTTTCGTACATGTAATACGGACAGCAAATAGATTTTTAGGTTTTTCTTTCAGAACATTGATCTTGATTAGTTCAGTATTTCTCATCTAATTTTATTAATATCTCAATTATTTCCTTATTTCTAGCATTCACGTGATCTTGATATCTAATATTTATTTAATCATTTTAATTAGTATCTTTAAAAAATATTTATTTCAATGTCAATATGATGCTCAAACTGCTTAATTAAACAAACATTCATAAAGTCCTAGTAATCTTCTATGAAAATTTGTTGAAGCTCTTGTCTTTACAAAATGTAAATATAACATATATATGTGTATGATAGTTCTATTATCACAATAAGTTTGAGTAAAATTAAAAAAAAACTTCTAAAATGAATATCATAGATGTTCGTGTCGTAATAATTGAAAAGTATAACACAAATGAAAATATTGAGTTCACCTCTGTGACAATTTTTAGATTGATAACTAGACAAAAATCATTCCATGATCATTTTTAAATCACTTCTTATCTATTAAAAATAAAAATCTGCAGCTTCAGTTATAGCCTTTTCATCCGAGTAAGACTTTTGATACAAGGAATGGATGATATCAAATCAGAATTAGAACTTATGATTCTATGTTATAAAAAGAAGATGAAAACTAGATATTATCTTTCAAAATGACTAAATTTTCAATGAAAATAATGAATAATAATTATAAACTTTCATCTTTATACAAATAAAATAACTGCAAAAATAATCAAATTAACAAAAGAATACGATTCTCATGTTATTCAAGACGAATGTATCATTTATGGTCTATTCTGCATTTCAATAGTGAAATTTCTTCACTCAAATGTAACTATATCAGTGTCCTCACCAAGTTCTTCATAAACGATTTCCTTGGTTGACTTAACACCAATTCTATTGATTTAGTGCTCGATGGATAGACGGTTATCAAGAAATTCTTGATTTCAATTTCAATAAACAACTATGTTTTTTGTCTTCATCAAAAAAAAACAATTAAAATCTAATACTACATTAATTCCTTGTTAACTTTCAATAGATTGTTGTATCATGATTCTTATAGAATTTTAGTAATTTACGATGTATTCAAACGTAATCGTACATTATTTCTTCTATCGTTAACAATATTCAAGAAAGTATTCTTTCCAATCGAGTCAATCAATTGATATTTTCGTTTTGTCATATAACATCTTATTTTATATTGAAAACAATCAACACTTATAAATTATATAATTGTTTTATTGTATTATTGATAAATTGATTCTCATTGTAAACAACCATGAAATTACATGATAAATATAAATAGAATCAATCAATTAATCAACAACCTGTTCAATATGAAGTTTTAGTCCTTAGCATTTTTTCTTGGGTCTTTGAAAATTTCTAGAGATCTCATTATCTATTAAAGAAATACTAAAAAACAAACATAAGATAGAACAATTAAATAATTTGGCTTATTTCTGAATTATCCAAATAAGCTAGTATAAGAGCTGATAAACCAATAATAGGCGTTATGCCTCTCTATAAGAAAAAAAAATGTTACTAATTTTTGCCAGAAGATTAATCTTAATTTGTAAAGAATTTTCTTGTTACTGATATTCTGTCACTCAGCATGAAGAAGTATGCCGGCGGTATGTTTATCTTTTGATTTCTATTCTTCTCACCGGTAGGTCAATTAGATTATGAACGATGACAATAGATTACATCGATCAATATATAGTTTTCTTTTAAACACCCATAAAGTTAAAGAATCTTAATCGAACAATAAATAAAATATTCATTATATTGATCCTCACACCTTACAATTGATAGATAGACATAGAAATGTGTATTATCATTGTGTTTTTGTTTTGTTTTTATTTTTTTTTTACTGTTGAGAAAAGAAATAGAATTCACAAATCTCTTGATACTTCTATGGTTAAATCATGATCATCTTGATTCGTTTCGAGTGTCTTTTCCCATTTAGTTATTCATTGATTGATTGATTGATAATATGATTTATTCGTACACTACGTTACTTTTTTTTGTTTCTCCTATATATTTATCATCAACATTTGTAGATTTTCACACTTATATGATATCAATTCACAATGTAACATATTCGTAAATAATATTTTATTTTCTAACATAATCTAAATGAAAACCAAAAAAAAAGAAAAGATTAATACTTTCATTAGGTTTTAACGAAAGATTCTTTTTCATGATAATTGTTGAAATCAGTCTATGAGCAATATTCTAATGTTTACTCATATAAGATATTTTTATATATGATTTTTCATTTAAAGAAGTTTCAATAACAGAAAAAAAGAACTTTAGTTAGACACTTTAAATCGAACAACTTACACTCAGTTGGAAATGATATTTTTAAGCTATTTCTTCTAATACACGAAATCTTTATTTTAGCTACCTTGAAATGTGAATTCTGATAAATTACTATCAAGATTTTCATTGAATTGATAGATTTTTGAGTTTGTAATAGTTTTGAATTTAAAATCATTTGCTAACTAGTTTCTATCTCAAATATTAAATGGAGAAAGAAGAGAGAATAGCTCTACCTAGCGGCTAATTTTATGGTTCAATATCTTCTCTTAAATTATGACTAGTTGTAGCTTTGGACACAAGATCAACCTGATGCTGCGTTCTTGCGCTCATATGCTTCATCTCCTCACACATTAACTGATCACAACAGCGGATCTGCATATCACAAAGTATTCATCATACTATCGGACGAATGACTCGAGACCAATAGCCGTTAGTGACTTGTTCAGTTTTATTCCATAGTTGGTAGTACTGAGGTTTGCACACAAAACCTTATGCATACATGTCAAAAAACTGAGTTAATCAGCTATGTTGATTGCGAACATTACACTTAAAAGAGTAACAGTGAAAATCTTTCTAAATATGAGTAAGGAAAAATTGATTCCTACAGGTTGAGTATATATATTTCGAAATCGACTGTAGATCAGATAAAATTAATATGTTCGAAATTTGATTGATCATATTCATCTTGTCAAAGAAAATTGTAAATTTCAAACAATGAACATCGCATTTTACTGTGGAAACAAAAAACCATTAAATTCAAATTGAAAAATGGAATTTAGCTGTTGTCTAGAATGAGTCCATCGATTAGTCGCCTATAGTGTTATTGTTTAACCAATTAGTGTAAATCAATTAGCGTATCAAATAGGTTTGTCATTTTTTTTTTCTTTCTCTTCTTCTAATCTATCAATTGATTTCATCCAATAAAATATACATTTTTCTATACATTGAATATTTATTGGTTAAAGCAAAAGTGAGAGAAAAAAAATTCATCGTCTACAAATAGATTTTGCATCTGGTGCAATAACTTCATTCTATTGACAACATTTTCACTGTTCACTTCACTGATTCTAATTATGGAAGACGATCGTAGTACTAGTCCATCAAGTATTGCATCAAGTCATGATGAACATGATACTGATATGCCAGAAATCCGTGTATATCAACCAACATTTAAGTATGTATTTTATTTTATTTATTATTTAAAAAAGAAAAATTAAATTTTAACTTTTTGTATTTTTAGTCCACTTTGGTTTTCATTTACACCATTACGTAATTCACCTCTATTCAATTCAATATCTTTTCAACCACCAATACGTTCAACTACACCAATAGTTCGACATAATTTCAAGAGTATTGATGAACTACTTTCTCCTATTCCTAGTTCTATAACTTCTACTCCCTCTCAACGAAACGGTAAGGCAAATATTTATAATTACTTTTGATGTTTTCTTAGATAAACATCAGGTAAGTAGATTACCAGAGCAATATGCTTTTTATTATCTAGTTTATATATAATTTCTTCATAGAATTATCATCAAGTTTTTTTTTTCTTGTTATTTAGATGATACTGGTTACAGTTCACAATTATTATCTGGTTCTTTACTTTCGTTACGACAAAGTCGTGAATCAATTGATTCACAAGAAAATGAACATGACATTGAAAATATAAAACCATCAGCATCATCATCACCAATAGAAGAAGTCAAGAAACAAGATAATGAATTGGTAATAATAATAAAAGAAAAATTTCTTTTCAAATAATCTGATTCATTTTCTATTTAGAAAAATAATAAAACAAAAAAAATTCGTACAGCATTTACAGATCATCAAAAAATGAGTCTTGATCGTTTTTATGCAACAAATCGTTATCCAGATCCAACACAAATGGAAACACTTTCACGTTTATTATCACTTGAAGAAAAAGTTATTCGTGTTTGGTTTCAAAATAAACGATCACGAGAAAAAAATCATCCACGAAATCAATTATCTATTCATCAACAATCTAATCCAGCAGCAACTATGGCTCTCTGGCAACAATATTCATCATCATCAAATTTTCCTCATTGAAATAAGACAATGAACTTCTTTGCTTTTTTTTTTTATTTTATGTCCGCAGTATATTGTACATATTGATATACTTGTTTAATAAATAGAAGGGAAAAAAAATCAACAGTTTATAATTAAAAGAAGTGCTGATTATCATAGCTGTCAATGGAATATTTTCACCGATGGTTTTTTTTTTGCAGAGAGAACAAAAAATCTCGAAATGAGTGAATGATTCTTTTCAAAACAGCTGTCTGTTCCATTCACTCATTTTCTTAAAAGAGAAAGTAGAACAAATATGTTCATATCATATGAGCAGATGTTTTCTATGTCGACACTCATGATGATGAGCAATGTTAGTTCAACATTGATCTGTAGTTGTAAGTTATCAGCTGTACAGCTTTAAAAGGCTAAGGATGACTTTTTTTGTTGATTATTGATATACAAATGTATGGTATTCAAATACGATGATTTGTACGCTTGGTTGTTTTGTATTAGACTGATCACTATGTGAATTTGTTTTATATAAGATAATAGACTTTATCATAACATTGAACAAGCAAAGTGTTATCATTTTCCAGTATTATTGAACCTTTTTAGTACATTCACGTTTTTGTTCTATACTATAGATTATTTCTTTTTTTTTTTATGGTTGGAGGAGTAGATAAAGGAATACATAAAATGAACATGAAATCTCGTGAGACATGCCATGTAGATGAAATGATAGCAAAAAAAAAGAAAAAAACTCATTGATTTTTCAATGGATAATCATTGAATATCACATGTAAATTCTTAAGATAAAATATTATTCGAAAAGACATGTTCAGTAATATAATATTTGTAAATGATATTGCATAGTAATGAGCGAGACCATTCGTTTTCGATTTTCATTTCGTGATTAGTAGTACATGTACCAGTAAAAAATAACTTTATCATTTTCTAATAATATCAATGCGTTTGAAATATTTTGTACGTCGATAACTCTGTTGGTTACAAGAAAAGGACTCATTTTACTGACTAACTTTTGCATGAACTTTAAGAATACATGAATCGTGAGAATACGACATTTGATACAGATCTTACACAATTATAAAAGATATCATTCGTATTGATAAAATGTTAATGCTTGTCTTGGTCCCACCGCGACCGAAACCTTCTTGTTCATATTTAGTATTGCATATTAAAAAGATAATATTTTATAATAATTTCCTTTTTTTTATCACCGCATTTCTTTTATTAATTTAGAACAAATGTCAGGAATATACGCGTACAAAAAAAAAACAAACTGTACAAATGATAAAAACCATAATATAAAGTTATTTTTGATAATAAAAAAAATATCAGTTCAAATACTTGATTGCACTGACAAATACAAAATAGGCAACAAAAGAAAAATATTTAAAATATTCAAGAATCAACATCTTGATATAAACAACTTCCTGTACAGTCTTCTTCAGTATTACTTAATTCAATAACAGTTGCATAATGTTCGGATGTATCATCACCTATGCCAATATCATTTGATGGTCGAGAATAATAATGATATTGCGGATTTTGATATACTATACCCGATTCACTACTATTAGCTATTTCAGCATATATATCACTGCTAGTTGTTGTTTCTCGTTCACTATTTACAGATGAATAATAATTTTCATTTAATTGTTGTTCTTGTTGATTTTGATCTTCTTCTATTGGTGAATATTGAGCACGATCTTGTAAAGATTCACGTACTATAACTTCCTCATAATAAGGACGGTGAGTAGATATATTGTCATGATCATTAGCTATTGTACTCGCAATTGTATCTGTATAAACTTGGAGCGGCAGAGGCGGTAATGGAGGTGGTGGCAGTGGAGGAGAAGTTAGATGTTCAGGAGTTATGGTAAATCCGGTTGAATGTAAACTTGCCGAAGGTATTGGTTGTGATGAAGGACTGAAATAACAAATAAAAAGGTATTAGGTATATTTGTTTATTTCTGTCAGACTAATTGGAAATTCAAATGAAGATCTTTTTTTTCCTATACTTTTGTAGAGAATCACATATAAATAAGGACAACTAAGTAGTTTTACTAATGAATTCCTTGAAATGAAATTTCTATAAAGACAAATCTATAGATTTTGCTAATCTATATACAATTCATCCTTGATGTCAATTTATAATTCCAAGAGGAAAGCATATATTAACATTATATTTCAGAGGCAGATGTACTTCTGATAAAGTAACAGAAAGAATATTTCTTATTAAGATGTTTATCTATTCGATGATTGAAATATTCATAAATGTGTCAATACTTCAGATGTCTTTCTTTATCTTCTGTCAAATTACTACATACAGATATCGAATCCTAGTTATATCTATACTCTTCAGTAACTTACGCAGTTGTTGATGTTAGTATTGAGTCTTGTCTAAGGTTAGAACCAATAGTACTTGTTGCATTTGTTTTTATTCTTGTTCCATTATTCACTGTTCTTATTTTATCAACAGTAGCATAAAGTTCTGTATCATCATCAGATGATTGTTGTTGTAATCGTATTGATGTTAATTTCGTATGATTCTCATATTCCATTGATTTTGCTAAATTTTGATCAACATTCACAATACCGATTTCTCCATCACCTGATGAATCAACAATTTTTTCATAATCTGATTCAATTGGTACAACTGGCATATCTGATAATAATGGAAGTGGTGCTAAAGTAATTGTTGGCATATTTGAATTAGAATTTGTATCATTAATATTCTTTGATGATATGCTATATGTAGAACGAACGCGTTTAAGACAAGAACAAAATGAAAATTTCATAATTATCGAGAATGAACTATTAATTTATTGGTCATCTAATCCATCGAACATTATTTTTCATGACCACTTTCATCTAAAATTTAAGATTATTCAATACTAACAAACTAGAATCATTTCAACCAAAATTATAGCATAATTAATTATATAATTTAAAAAAACATTAGAAAAATATAAAGCTTAAGACAAAAAAAAAATCTATTCTAAGAATAAATATGAGAAAAAGAAAACTTGTTCAATTAATTTGTAATATTACTACTTGACTTTAAGTTGATTTCTTTTGACGACCAATAAATGTGTCCATTAATTTATGAAGACCAATCATATCATGTATTTCAAGTTCGGCTGCTTTCGGTATGAAGCTAATACGAAAAAAAAAGAACACATAGAAAAGTTAACTTTTTCGTCAATAGTATTCAAACCAGTTCAGATTAAACGAAATCGCAAATGATTTTGGCATAATTAATACATGCTTATTTTGTCTAATCCCTTTAACAATTGCATCACAAGCTTTTTCTTGATCCAACATTGGCGCTAAGTCACTAACGGTAAAAATACTCAAGATAAAATCATTATAAACGCTATTTACTTACTGAGAAGTGGCCCCTTCAAACATACCAGTGTTAATAAAACTTGGACAAACAACTGTTGTTTTAATGCCATGTTTTTTTAGACCATATAATTCATGTCTAAATGAAAAAAAAAAGTAAATATAGATTTGCACATATCCAATGAAGAAAAAGCAATTCTTACGTTAAAGCTTCATGTAAACCAACAGCAGCAAATTTTGATGAACAATAATCAACTAAACCAGATATACCACTTAAACCAGCAGCACTTGCTATCGTTACAATGTGACCATAATTATTATCTAGCATTGATGGCAAAAATGCTTTGAGAATCTACATTCAAGAATAATGAGTGCATGATAGAATCAGTAATATCATCTTATTCAATATGGTTAAGATGGTTCTGGTTCTAGAAGAACCGAGACCGAGACAGGAATTAAACTCTTTTCACAACAGGGAGGAGGATTGGGACCAAAAGTGGTTGGTTTCACTCATCACTATATAATACCCAAAAATGAGCGATAACATTAACATCAAATGTACGTTGAATCGATTCATCACTACAGTTTATTAATTGTTTGCCTGAAACCACACCAGCATTATTGATAATCATTGTTACATGACCGATAGTTCCTTGTACCTATGTGTTTAAATTAAGATAGATTTTCTTTTCATATATATCTTATTTACCTTTTTAGCACATTCATAAATATTTTCCTTATTTGTTAAATCACATTTCATAGCATAAATGCGATTTGAGTTAGTGGCTGTATTCAAGTCTTCTGCGACACGAGCGTTATTAACCTCATCGATATCCCATAGAACGAGTGTACAACCCAGATGAGCAAGTCGTTGAGCAATACCTTTACCAAGTCCACTAGCAGCCCCGGTAATGAGAACAATTTCCGAACTAAGATCTTTCAGTGGAATACCACCACGAATGAGATTGATTAGTGCAATGAAACAATGTTTTAATGCTGTAAAAATAATGATGAGATGTTGTTTGATGACTTGAATATTAACCATGACTTATTCAGATCTAGAAGAATATGTTTACTATATTTATACATATCAAAATAAACTGAAAGAAATTGTGTCGATTATTGTTCAGCAACACTAATGGGTTTTCGTTTGTTAAATTAAGCTCAATATATGTTCTTATTAATAAACTCGTCATATGAAAAAGGATGAAGGAATTAAAGCGTAACTGATACGTTAAGAAACACCTATAGTTGCATTATCTTTCATGAAATGGTCAATGTTTGATATATATGAAACGAGTTGGACCAATGGTCTCGATTTGAAAAGAGCTGAAGTGGGCTAGCTTCCTTTCCCACCCACATCTTACGTTCTGTCTGCGGCAACTCTCTGACTAGTTTAAGGAGGCAGCTTTTATCAATATTTTTTTTGTCATATAGACAGCCTAGAACTGTCTATCAAGCTTTTAGCTCCTTGTGCTTATAGAAACAATCGGAAGTTCGAGGTAGAACATAATAAATGACAATCTCAGGATACTTTTTGCAATATATTAGCCAACTCTCCTCATGTTGAAAATAATTTTCTAATCACAACATAAAACTTTTAATTCTCTGTAAAATTGTATATTACATCTTATTGGAAAAATTTCATTGAAATTTAAGTCTAACAAATGGTTCATTGATTGTTCGAAGACAAACAATTGCTATGATAGCACTATCGAGTTGAATGAAGACCTGTTATACTATACTATGATATTTAAATCTTCAATTATTGTTAAGTATCTTATTCATCTCGTTGTTGGTAGTAGAGGTATATCTAATCAGTCTTTAAATGAACGATGTTGTCATCACAATTTTCTGTCTTATGTTGGTACCGATCATCTGTCTTCGAACAATCAATGCATTACTTTTCTAGACAATTTAATTAGAATGACTTTTTTCCAGTAAGGTATAGCAACAGATGAAAGTCAAAAATAGAATACAGTTTTGCAGTGTATGAAAAGCTCAATGTTCTAATTGGAAAATTGATTTCTAAATGACGAGAATAATCAAATATTTTACAAAAGAATACTGAGGTTACCATTTATTCTACTCAATCAGGTTAATATGTAGACTATCAAATTCGATTACATTTAAAATAAAAACAAACTGAAATAGGCTATTTATCAATTAATTAATACTTCTATGAATTATCGCAATATTTTACCATGTAAGTCAATTAATCTGCAAAGAAAGATAAAAACTAAAAATCACATATGTAAATAAAAGATTAATTAATAAGTCTACAAAAAAAAATAAATAAACTCAATATCTTCAATGACGTTCAACAAATGTATCCATAGAATGCTGCAGACCAGTCATCCCTTGTGCTTCAATTTGAGCTGCTGTTGATGAAATACTAATGTCAAATAATAATAGAAATTCACTATAGAAAAAGAAAAACAGTAAAAAATCTCTTTTTTTTTTGCAAACCTTTTTAATAACAATCCAAATCCTAAGACTTTTGGTATCAATAACATATGTTGATCTTTTCTTATAGTTTCAATAATTTGATCACAAACATCATCAGGTTTTAACATAGGCAATAAAACACTAACGAAGAAAAACTAGCACATATCAAGTGCAAAAGAAAATTTTCATGTTCTTATCTAGTAGTAACACCTTCAAACATACCGGTATCAATAAAACTTGGACAAACAACTGTTGTTTTTATATCAGTCTTCTTCAGTCTATACAATTCATGTCGAAAATAACTCTCATATAATTTCCAGTGATATATCAAAAAAAAAAAATAATTCTTACGTTAAAGCTTCATGTAAACCAACAGCAGCAAATTTTGATGAACAATAATCAACAAGACCAGATGCACCTGTTAACCCAGCACCACTGACAATTGTTACAATATGACCATGATTATTATCTAACATTGATGGTAAAAATGCTTTGAGGATCTACATGCAAGAATAATCGATATATGATAGAATAAATAATATCATCATATCCAGAAATGAGCGATAGCATTAACATCAAATGTACGTTGAATCGATTCATCACTACAATCTACTAATTGTTTGCCTGAAACAATACCAGTATTATTAATAACTATTGTCACATTACCAATTTTTTCTTGTACCTAATTAATATACATGTAAATGGGAATGACTATATTTTCTTTTTGTTGAACACTTTTTTTTTTTACTTTACTTGCACATTCATAAATACCTTCTCTATTTGTCAAATCACATTTCATAGCATCGTTTAGTTCGTTGGCAACCCGAGTATTATTAACTTCATCGACATCTCATAGAACGAGTGTACAATCAAGTGAAGCAAGTCTTTGAGATATACCTTTTTCAAGACCACTAGCAGCTCCAGTAATAAGAATTATTTCTGAACTAAGACTCTTTAGAGGTGAACCATTAGTAAATGATGAGAATAAATCACGAAATCAATGTTTAAATAAAATATAAAATAATTTAATATATTGAATAGCGATTTCTTTAGGAAACATTAGTTTATTTCAAATCTGAAAATATTCTTTTTTTGTATTCTAAAAAAATTAATAAGTAAAAACTATTCAATCAGAAAATCTTGATGACATTTGAATGATCTTATTTTAATCTGATTGTTTTAAGATAGTTCACAATATAGAATAGTTATGTCAAGTAAAAAATAATCTAACTGATTTTTATAAAAATTGAAAGTTTGAAAACTATTAATAATTGGATTATATAATTTTTAAATAGATCTCTCATATTCATATCGTTTAGTATTATTAACATATGTTAACTTCTGTGAATATCTTTGATAATTTTATCAGATATAACTTCTATTTTGGCAAATGAACCTGTTTTTTTGTGTAAAAGATAATAAATATATCATTTTCTTCTATATTGTCCATAAATTACGAACGATTAGCATCTGTAAACATGTGCATATTTATATAATTTACAAAAAAAAAATACAACTGCTGTTTTAATAACATGTTTATTTAAACTATGTATCAACTGACATCACTGACAATCATTACAATATGATCATGATTATCATTCAGCATTGATGGAAAAATGCTTTTAGGATCGACATTGAAGGATAACCTATGTATAAGAGAATTAGTAATATCATCTTACCTAGAAATGACAGATAACATTAACATCATATATATGTTGAATCGATCGATGCATCACTACAGGTTGCCTGAAGCAACGCCAAGATTATTAATAATCATTGTCATATGAGGAACAATGCCCTAAAACTATGGGTTTAAATAAAAATACATCTAGTTCTCACATATATCTTATTTACCTTTTCGGCACATTCATTAATACTTTCCGTATTTGTTAAATTATATTTTATAGCATAAATCCATTGTGAGTTAGTGGTTATATATAGTTCTTCTACGAGACAAGCACAGGATACTGCAGAAAAAATATACAATTAAGCTATTGAGCAAAATATTTTTACTAAGTACACTAGCAACATTGGCAATGAGATTGATTAGTGTAATGAAGCAAAGCTTTAATAATATAAAAAATATAATAAGATGTTATGTTGTATGACATATGTCCTAGCTATGAATTATTCATATCTAGAACAAATTCAAACAATAAAATATTTTCTTATTATAAGGATTTTATAAATGTTGGAATAAAATGAGAATTAAGAAAATTTTCTTTTGTCTAGTGTCGAGCAACACGAACAATTTTTCTTTTGCCACCTTTTTTTCCATCTGATTGATCATCCTCACCTTGATTATTTCCGCTACTACGTAATTGAGCATAGGGTGAAAAGAAAAAGAGCATGATGGCTTTATAGATAGCATAAAGTGGAATCTAAAATAGAGTTCAACTTTTGAAAAAAAAAATGAACAGTATTTCTTTATACATACGGCTAAAATTAACCACCAAAAATATCGATGTAAAAGACTAGCAGATTGAGTAATAACAATTGCCAATATAATATCTTTTGCATATCTATATAAATATAGTAAAAAGTTTATGTTAACTTGATTTTCTTGAAATAGACTAGTGTTTAAAGTTATTTTGAATCTCCGCAAACAAACTGTGAAAATTAAATTTCATGAAAAATATTTCTTATATTTTCATGAGAAACACAATATCAATTGCTGTTGGTAATTTGACTTTTGATATCTTTTATATGATAAATAAATCTTACTCTGAAATACTGCCTTCAAGATTTAGATCAGTAACACTACCAGTCGATTTCTGTGTTCCAACTCGACGCATAAATAACCATACATACCATCCAATAGCAGTTGATAATACGAAGAGTATCTATCAACAATAGAACAAATAGATAATCAATAGCTATTGATTTTTTTTTGCATGTGTTGAACACTTACGAGAGAAACATGTGAAAGTCCCGTAATAAAATAAAATATGAAGTTAACAGCAATAAAAGTGATCTATTATATATTTTCGTTTCTTTATAGATTATGAATTCACACAATAAAATCTTACATTAGCAATGAATAAAATTTTTTTGTAAAATTCTATTGTTTGCGCATTGTCTTTGGCTATTTGTGCCTCACCTTTTGTTGCTTGTTTCCCTTTTTTTCTATTAAAAGGAAAGCAAACCAACAGTTTTATCAGATATCATAGATAAAAAAGAACATACCTTACTACTACTATCTGTGCCAATTGAAAACATTTGAATATGGAATGAGATTGAGTTTTTGAAATAGATTCTATATCCAAAACTTAATGGATTCCTATATACGAGCACCTATGAAGTGACGTGTACGTTCGTTATCTATTAACTCCAATATACCATCGGCTGATACTCAAGAGCAAATAAATGGCATATTCTAGGTTCCACATAGATGGCGCCGGCGACTAGAATAAAGAAACATGATTGAATATCTCTAAGATAAGTTAGATAGATGATGGATGTTGTTGATATAGAGGAAATCTTTATCAGCATTTATCATTAGAAATTGTAATATTTCTTGAGTAGGACTATTTCAGGCGAAAGACTTTCTGAAGTATCCTATCTGTCTTTCAACTATAACAAATTTCCTTTACTTCCAGAGAACATGACAGAATAGTTTGCTTCATTTTGTCTGATATTCTACAACAAATGATTATTCATTCATTCTGTTTTCTAGGACGCAGGGCAGCACATCAAAAGGTTCATTGTGATAGGACAACGGGTCCTTTTGCGTCCGATCTACAGTAACTGTTTATACAAAAAAAAATCATTCACCATATAATTACGTTATTTAACTTTATTACTTGTTTTTTAACAAGTAATGAAACAAAATAATAATGAAACAAAACAATAATAAAACAAACCTAAAGATATAGAGTCCAAAATGTAATCAATATAAACTGAGAGACAACAACAACAAGAAGAAGATAAGAGTTCTTCTTTACTGCTTTTTCTTGAGTTTCTCCTATGAATGAATAGATAATACGTCATCAGTTTGACTTGATAATAAACGTGTTTTTCTTTTAGAAAATGTTAATGCAGATAACTTTTGCGTTACCTGTTATGAATTAACAATCAAAATAACGGAAATTTTCAAGTCTTAATACTAACTATCATGATTAAATAGAACGATCTTTTGTATTATTCAAATAAAAACAAGGAATAATTTGAGATCTCCTCAGGGAATTATTGAACGGACAACAGTTAATTACAAGTGCTTTTATTGATTTTCAATAACTCTATGTAATTCTAATGCCGCAGAATCAATTTTTCTCTCTTAATTTTTTCATTCTCCGATGTTGTTCATTGAAAGATGCATTGAATTGCTCGCAATAATAGTCCCATCTTGTGAATCATCGTTGATCAATGATAAATGCGTCAGTATCAATAGTTTTAGATAAAACTGCATGTTCTTACTCACTTGTATCATCTTCTATGCTTTGATCTTTACTTATAAGAATCAGTTATGACTTGATGAATACGATCTATTAATTTACTTTTTTACAAAATGTCAAATACAATACCCAATAAATAATAGTTCACTTATTTTTCTTTCAACACCAACTTTTCTACGCAAATGAACTCTACAAAGCTCTTTATGTTGATCTATTCAAATAAAAAGAAAGAAACTTATTCAACAAACATTCTTCATCTAAAGTTGGATTAATTAATTCTTATCAACTGAACAGTAAAGTAACAATGAGATAGTACGATGAGTTCAAACAATATAAACAATAAGTTATATACCAAATGAAAGTCGATTGATAAAAGAATAGTTGACTATATTGATGATAATCCGTTGGGTGATTATAGTTGTTTGAGTAATACAAATTTGTTCGGAATTCTAGACATGTCATACGATGTTTTCGTAGATATTTTATAATGAAGACACGAATTTGTGAGTAAAATTTTTCACTAATTCAACTTTCTAAAGCTCTATTTGTTGATGATTTTCATTTTATAAAATTTTAATTATTTGTAAAAGTCAAAATATTGGAACACATCATAGCTCGAGCAAATAGAGATGTATAGTGATTTCTAGTATTCTGTCTGTCATACTATCACTTGTGTATCAATGAAAATCATGAGCAAAGCAACTTTTGCAAAGTCTCATATATGGTAAAGTTATTAAAGAATAATTTTGAGCAATTTTTATTATTGTAAAAGCCATAATCAATTCGATGAATTATTAACTTCAATGCATTAGATGAATAGCAGTGTAAATCAATTTCTAAATGATTATTTCTTCTTTTCAAATTAATATGCTCACATTCAATAAAATTTCAGTGTTAGACTTAAGTAGCTACTGGTCTCGGTTCAAAAATTTAGCCTTTATTGAGTCTGTGTCCACAAAAACGTTCACTTGTGGTTCTCTAATCGAATGTCTTATTGAACCAATTTAGTAATTCATTAAGTTTATCTTACTTATCGATGATCAGTCATTGTTTATGTATGATCTAAATGAATCATCATCTTAATAGAATAAGGTCAACATAACTAGTTAATCTAAGTTCAGAGAAGAATATATATTTTAGAAGAAATGATAGAGAAATTTAACAAATGAAGTTTAAGATAAACACACAAAAGAAAAAGAATAATGACTACTAATCAAGTTTTAATTTTTCAGTTTCTTTTTCTTTTTAATCAAATATGTAATAATAAATCTGACTATGTGTATATTTTGAATGTCAATATATTGTTATGTTCATTTTATTTGGCCTTTTTCAAGTCTTTATCAACTTGATTAATCAATGATTTCAATTTTTCCCATTGATCACCAGTCAAACTAATACCTAAATTTTTAACAAAAATTATATAAAATATGAGAAAAAAAACATGTTTTTTTATCAAACTATACCTTTCTTGCCTGGTTTTTCTACGCCTTTATCTTCATAGTATTCACGAATATTGACATATGATTTACCTCGAAATTCACTTACTGATACATAGCGTAATTTACCAATCTATCAGAACATAAACAGTAAAGATAAAAAATAACACTAGATAAAACCATTTACTTCATAAAGGCGTTCACCATTAGCTCCAGACTTTGAAGCCGCAGCACCATTTTCTTCATCAGTTGTTTTAGCTCGTTTAGCCGGTGGCTAATTCAAATAAAAAATAAAATAGAAGATGTTTTTCTCAGAAGCTACTTACATCCTGTTTATTATCTGAACCTTTAGTCTTTGGTTTTTTTTCTGTTGATTTTGTTTCTGACTCTTCGTCGCTAGCTGATTCAGAACTATTAACAAATTCTTTTGATTTAGGCATTGTTTTAAATAATCAGTTAGATTAAATCTGAAATAGAGTATTAAAAAAAATATTTGCTTAACGTTTAAATTCTATCAAAACAAATTCATAAACAACAAATGTTATACAACAAGCTGGTATAACTCGGTAGAGTGTTGGCACAATACCCTTATAAAATCCACCAATACTTTCTCTTTTATATGTTTTTTTAATAACATCAATTACACCATTATATTGTTGATGTTGATCTTGTAAACGTGTTCTTACAACTTGATATGGATATGTTGTACTAACAGCAATTAATTTTGATAATGCTGAAAATGTTAATATAATTGGAGTTGAAAAATCTGTTGTATGAAATTTTTTAATATAAAAATCTTTCATATGTTCATATGATACAAATTGAACTGTACCATGAACAGTACCAAATATACCAGGTACAAGACCTTTATAAAATGCTTTCATTCCTTCAAATTTATATATTTTTTGCATACAATCAAACATATTTTTATAATGAATATTTGTTTTCGTATTTGAATATTGTAAACACATTCGTGTTTTAAGAACCCATACTGGATTTACTAGAGATATTGTTGCTATACCAGCTATAGTAGAATACATAAAACGATCTTGAAATCTTAAATTCGTTCTTTGATAATCTTTATTATGTACAATACCAATTGTATTATATAGAAATAAATAAAGACCCCAAGATACACCATTACCTAATACATTGGGTGCTACACCTTGATATAAACCACGAAAAAATCCTTTTTCACGATAAATTGAACGAAATGCATCAAATAGACTAGTATAATGAGGACGATAAGGTAAGGAAGAATTTGATACAATAGATTTAGTTTCAGTAACTTGAAAACGTATTTTAACTAAATCAAACGGATGAAGTATTAATGATGAAACAACACCACCACTAAGACCAGCAAGAAATTGATCATATTGAATTGTTGATAAAACACGAGATATTAATAAATTATTCATCTAGAGTAAATATTCATATTTTTAAATTATTTTCTATAAATGAACTTTAATTGAGTAACATTTGATGAAAATTATTATTCAAATTTGAATTTTAAGTGCAAACACAAAAACAATTTCATTTAATATCTAATGCATAGGTTTCATCATCATTTTATCAAATCGTATAATGATAGACTAATTACATCTAGAAAAATAATATTTTTCTTAAAAAATAAATAAATCTTTTATTTAAATCAATTCAATTTTAGATTCGAATATCTCGTCTAATTCAAATAAATAATATTAATTATTTATTATCAATACGCTAAGAATTACCAATTATAGAATTTATTCATAAAACTGTATACAAAATAGATTTGATATTTTTCCAACAAACTGTTTCAAATAGATGAATTTACTATCTCTCATGGTCAAAACCTGTCTTAATATCTATATACGAAGTGTATACAAATTCCAATAATTCAAAACAATCCGTTTGATGATTGTTCCGAGTTATAATGATTAATCATTAAGTATCCAGAATCGAGAAAAAAAAAAAAGATTTTTTTCATATACGTAATTATTCAAATTCAAAGAATCTAATTCTCATTCGATATTTAGAAGTAAATGGAAACTCAACATTACAACTTAAGAAATGCGATTTTCTTTTTTAAAATCTTCCTTTATATTGAAAATTTATAAAAGCAAGAGAAAATAATAAAAAAAAAAAAAAAGAAAAGAAGAATGAAAGAAATCTTTTGTTAAATATATATTTAAAATAATTTTTTCTCAAGATTATTGTCTAGTATCTTGAAAAACATGCTCAGCATCAAGAGAAACAATAAGTTTATGTTTAATATCACCAAGACAAACAAGTTTATTCATATCATTATTTGTTTCATGTTCATCATGAATATTTGTTGATGCCATTTCTGTAACCATAACATTTTGTAAAAATGATGTTGGTTGTCCAATATCAACATCAAGATAAGTATCATCATTTAATTTTAAACGACATTTACCAGATTTATATATTTGTAATTTTCCAAGAAAACCATCAGGTAAATCACTTAATGAAACTAATTCAGGTTTTGTTGTTGATGATGATGTACGTGTACATGGTAAAACATCAGGAAATTGCATAAGAATAAGTTGTGTTGAATCATTTATAGATTCTTGTGATTTTGGAATATCCGTTGGTTCCATTGGTTCATCTTTAACAATTGATTTTGTTGATGAATCAAGTTTTTGTTGAGAAAATAATTGAATAAATGAATTAATATGTTCAGAAGTATTTGAAATTGATTCTGTAGATTTTTTTATAATATTTGGTTCTTTTTTTATATCAAATACAGATTTTCGTTGAGCAAGTGGAATTAAACGAGGTTCATTTTCTTCATCAATTTCATATTTAAGACCATCAACATCACCAATTAATTTTGTTTTTTTTATTCCAAGTTTTTCTATATTTCGTATGTTTCTATTAGATGTTGAAGTTTCAGTTTTAATTGATGTTCGAGAGGAAAAAGATGATGTTGTAGGTGCAACTGGTATCTGAGCTTTACCTTCTTCAAATATACCTTTAGTTTGAATGTAATTATCACGAGAATGACCACCACGATAATTACCACCTCTACCGCGATTTGTTTGTGGTTTATTATTATTATTATTAATATGATCTTTTTTATTGATAGATTGTATATCATTATTTGAACCGGATGCTGAATTATTATTTGTAGAATCAGTTTTATCTTTGTCTTTTTTTGAGGCTGCTAAATTCGGCATATATTTAGTTGTAGTACGTGCACCAACACCGGTTGCTATTGTAGATCCAGTACCTAGTTGAGTTTTTAATTGTTTCATTAATCGATCGGTATCTTGAGTAGTTGTTGAAGTTGTAGGACGTGTTAGGGATGGACTACGGGAAGAAGTTGCTGAAGATGATGAGGAAGCTCTATCGGTAGATTGAACACCGCCACCACGACCCCGTCCTCGATTAGACATATCTGAAAATGAAAATGAATTGACTTATAATTACATCAGATTAAACAAAAAGGAGGATATATGTATTACAACATTTTCTTTTTTTTCGTTATTACAGTTTTTCATCGATCTATAATGGAATAGTTATGATTCGTGGATTGGAAATAAACGAAGAAACGCCATCTAGATTTATGTCTGATTGTTTTTAATTAACCTATTGAGAAAACTTTTAATTATGAAATATAAATGACTTTTCTCGGAAATAAATTAATGTTACTTTAGTTATACATTTTACAAAACTAATTATATCTTTGTGAATATTAACGGCATCTTCAGGATTTCTAAGCCCTACTGAAAAGTTTATTTATCATAATCAACCTTTTTTTAGTAACTATCATAAGAAAGACAATTGATCGACTGTATATCTATTTTAAAATGTTACCAGAAAATATTTTCAAATAAATTCACTACCATTCTTTTTTCAACTCTGTTAACGGTTTTTTATAATTCTTGTGTTGTTTGTTGCCATCATCATACGAATAGATTTTAATCGCATGCGTATCTTAGCAAGATCAACTATCACATAGGATAAATTCGAATTAAACCATGAAGAAAATTAAGTCTACCATTGAAGACAAAACAATAAATGTCTACTAAATAGAGAAACGGTAAAAAATGATACAATTTATATCATTTTGATGAAATTTCTTTCAGAGAACAATGATGATGCAACATGAAATTTACGATGATGAAATGAACATTATTTCTGATGTTTTATTTTTTAAATTCGTCGATGAAAATCAAAATTTTAATTGATGTACATGATTTATTTTCCATGAAGGAAACTATCAAAATCATATAATGATATGAAATAATGCAAATAGTAATGCAACGATTTTTGGTTTTTGCAGTAATCAAAATATCGGACTGAAAGTGACTCAAAGAAAATGAAGCTTATGTTATAATTTCAATTCTTTGAAATAACCAAATTCATGAAAAGAAAATGAAATCAAACTGACAAAACTAATGGAATGATTTTGATGTCTGTGAGATAACTAAAACATGAAACATTTTGTATTATAATTTCGAAAGCAACTATTCAAATGAATCTTCTTTTTATTGAAGTCCCTGAGTAGTATTTGAAATGGAATCATTTCTCTTCATGAACAGTATGGACTGTTCTGGACATGCGAGACCTCTCTCAGAACGAAAAACTCAGTTATCAATCGATCGAATATGAACTATTCTTTGAACATGACTGACTCTTCGTACATATGTTAGATGTCAACAAATGAAGTCTTGCTCTATCGTTCTATTAGTTTTCTTGTAGGTAAAAGTATGTATGCTTTCTTATTTTCATATTCTTTTGTTTCAGAGGTATGTCAAGAGAAAAATAAATACATATTTGAAATTATTAGAAAAAAACTGCATCAAATGTTGTGATATTTCTTAATATTGAGAATAAACTTTGTTAAATAAAAGTTTCGCACACAGCACGCGTCATCCATTTTTCCATTGCAAATATTCTTTTACGAAGTTTACTTTTTCTTCTTCAATCTTTCTGTTGAGCATTGGGAATCAATATTTATATAATACAAAAATAAATCATGTCCACATGCTCTATAAACATTACTCACTTTATCACACTCATTTTGAGCGCTGTTTGATTTAATATTTGTAATTGTTTCCTGGAAATATTTTTAGCATTTGAATTTTGCGGTATTTTTTTAGATTATTAAGTGTTTTGAACTGTTTATGTATATAAGTGTGCACATACTTGAAATTAACATTGAGTTCTGAACAGAGTGGAGTATTTTATTAATAAAAACTTCAACTTTTACTTTTTTCAAGGAGAAAACCGCCGGAGAAAATCTTAAATCTGTTATCTGGGCATATAAATCACTTTTTGTTTTATTGAATGCTAAAAAAATAAATTTTTGACAACGAAATCATTTTAGAAAATCTATCACTTTTGGACATTTTGAATGATAAGTATGATATTCTTCATTGTTCTATTATAAATCTAATATGAAAACTAATAATGAAAATCAGTGTAGTCTTTCATGCTCTACAAAATAACATATCGATCGTGTTCATCAATTCATTTATTCAGGGTTGTAGAGGTATGATATCATATCTGTCTGACCCTGTATAAACTAATCAATGAGCATGATCAATATGTGATTTTGGAGAGCATGCAAACTTACGTCAATCTGCATTATAACTTTTCATATTGAATTTACAAAAGAAAAGAAAGGTAATATATTTACGATCTTCTTCGGCGATATCTTTTCTCGTGTCGAAAAATTTTTTTTCATAAGCTTCTAGTGAAAAATACACTATTTTAATGAACGACTCAATTTTGCTCACAATATTTGTTTGATTTTCGCTTTTTTCCTTCTATCGTGAACCAAACTGGTATTTTTAGGGAAAGGGTAAATTTCTGTTTAGTTTGTTAAAAAATGATCGATATATTCTGAAAGCTTGTTATAAACTGAACAACTTCTATATAGAAAGTTTATTTGTATATCGCTTCATTTCATATTACAATGTTCAACTCTCATCTTCATTAAAAAGGAATACCGTAACGAACGATATTTTCTGAATAACTTACAAGAAAATTATTCTGCATTGAAGATCGAACATCACTTATCAAATAGAGATCTGTGGAAACTACAACAAGCCTAGAAGAATTCTTTCCCATGCATTGTTCTTTCGGAGTTCTGGTTGTTTCACTAGATTTTTAATTCTTCGTACGTTACTTGTAAGAAAACTGAACAGATGAATTTTGATCTGAAACTTTGCTTACAGAGAGTTCTCGAAATCATTAGAATTTTCTAAAAATTTCAGCAAAAACGAACAATACCTTCTTGAAATGTAAAATCTTCACAAAGAAAAAAACTAGACTAATTTCATCTGTTCGATTTTTTTCAAGTATCGTACACGAAGTGAAAAATTTTATCAAATAGCCAAAATTTCAGAAGTACAGTACATAAAGAGGAATCCTTCTAGAGATTTTCTAGTCTCAACAGACCATACCTAATGAGAAGTATTTCATTTCAAACATGAAGTACTACCTTGGCCAATTTCCTTGTCAGCTAGAGCTGAAGAAAAATCAATGAAATTTTTAATGATAGTAGAACTAAATGATTTCTATCTAAAGTAAAACTTTCGAAGAAAATACTGTTGCCATTGACGAGATATATAGAAACATATGTTTCTTTGTATTTTTATTATCTCTATTATATGAAGTTAAATATGCTGTTGAATATGTTGTGAAAATTTAGTAGAAAAAAATTGTGTCAAAAAAATTGTTTGAGTTTCTATCACAACAATTTTTTCTTCGATGGAAATCGATGGTGACGATGCTGACAATTTTTTTAACAGCGCCTTTCTATTTACATCATTGATTGGCAATCAGTTGCGAAAAATATAAATTACAAGCTATATAACATATCTCAAGATTAGCCAAGTAAATAACCGGATGATATTCAGACATTAGCACCTTAAGAAAAATATTGTTTTCGATCGAATCATATTCATAAGTTTCCGTCCGTTTTATAATTACTCAGCAATAAACAATTGTTAATCAATATTATTTTTTCCAAGTTATATGTTAAAGATAAAATATACGTGTTAAATTCTTTTGTTTTCGATATGTTTGATTAAATGAGGTTGGTACAAAATTTCACGTAAGATTTTGTTTGAAGATACACGTGTGCATGTAACACCTTTTTTTGATCAACAACAAGAATCATTTGCCGTCATGATCATACACATGCTAAGTATATACTCTAATCTGTAATCCTCTGTTCTCAGCACGACATTTTCTTTTTTGCCTTTTTTTTTTTTTCTTCTCTATCTACCTTATTCAAAAAAAAACAAATTAAACAACACCTTTTCCAATAGCACTAGCCATTCACTTGAACTGTTGGTGGTCTCTCTTTCTCTATATATATATATATCGTTTCATTGGATGATTGAGTCACACCATCTTCATCATCAAGAAGTTGTATACTTGTGGTTTCTTAAGCAAACTAAACTATGTGGATCAATGTATGCATAGAATCACAAGGCTTCTTTTGAACATATTTTCAATCATATAATGCCGCACGTTCACGCACACGCGTTTATTTGTGCAAGCAAATTGAGATTTTCATCGTTTGTTACCCATCGTTCTCCATGGCATCGTCAAGTTTGTTGTACGAATTCATTTCTTGTCATTACCGTCATGCACACAGTTGTGTAGTCAATATTGATGAATCTGTCGAGCAAACATTAATCCCTTTTTCTTTTTTCTTTGTCAATCATTGATAGTGAAAATAGACTCACTAAGATAGATGATTGGTGTTCGTCGTATTTAATAGAAAAAGAAGAAAAGGGAACTGCTACCAATTCCGTACTAGTAATCTCATTGCTGACAGGAAACATTGAGAAACAAAGAAACGCACGCTCGTGCACATTCAAGTTGACATTTCCGCTCGTGTACATTTGCTCAGCTGTCTGAAATTCCGTTATTACTCAGCATGAGATCGTCAAATCATGTCAAGAAATCATCGTTTTTTTTCTTTTAAAAAACAAAAAAAAAGAAGACGACGACGATGACAACAACGAATAAAGACAAAAAAAAGGCTTAATTCAGACTCAGAAAAAAAAACCGCAATAGAGAAAAAAAAAGAAAAACAATAGAATACAAGTGAGAAAGAAAAAGAAAGAGAAGCATTGACTGTTATACAAAGGTGACAGAAAAAAAAAAGAAAGATGCGTATGTCAATATAAACATATCAAATCAGTTCCATGAATGATCGCTATAAGCACCTCCACCAGCAACTACCTGTGAAGGTGGCGGTGGCGTTGTGCTTCCAGTATTATGAAAACGTTGTTGTAGATCATCGGAATCAACTCCCGTGGATTCTGGAACTGTAGCTGCTGGACCATTAGCTAATTCATGATGCAAACCAAATGATAAATCTATTAACAGAACAAAAAAACTAATACATTTCGAATTTATGTTTTTTATT